TGTTTTATTTCTTTCGAGTAGGGTTGCCACCTGTTAAAAAATTACTATATTCAATCTTAATAAGCGAAGGTATCAGATATGCACCAAAACTGTCAAACGAAAAGACTTAGCCTCTAGTGGGGCAAAACCAACATCAATCGGTTCAACCTAAAATCAACAAAAAATCAAAAAAAAAAACACACACACAATCGCCCTTTGTGTGACAACATCAAGGCGCATGCCACAAATCGGAGAAGCTCGGCCAAACACTAGATGCATTATTTTGCAACCAAGCTACAAAAGAACACTCGGTTAAATGACGAAATACACACAAAGCAACCACACAATCTGGGCAATTTATCCGAGTTCAGCCAGGTCGGTTAAAAAACACGCGACATAAAGGGTAGTGTTGTTAAGTGAAAAAACTGCTCTATTGTGAATTGTCAATGGGAAAGGGGAAAGGGAAATTTTTGTTTCCTTATATACGTGACTTATATTTTAAATAAGTATATACGAATAGGGTTGCTTAAGTCGCTTAAAGGAAATTTTACCCAAGTTGAGCGTTCTTTTGTCGCTTACAAAAAAATGCTCCTACTAACGTATGTATAAGTAAGCGCCAATCTATAATTATTATTAATCTCGAGAATTACTTCACAGATTTAGACGAGATTTTACTAAATATAATCTGTATCGGTAGGGGTATTATCTTTAGTACATATCATTATCTTTAGTACATAGAATTTCTATAGAGTTGCCACCTCTCTAAAAAATTATAAGATCTGTTCGTTGAAATACAAAAATTAAAAGGCTTGCCCTCTAGGTGTTCAATAATTGATTATTTTTTGAATAGGGTGGCCACCTTGCTGAAAATAATATGATTTGCACCGGTAAACTGGATGCTAAGCGCAAAACTGTCAGGGAGCTTTTCAACAGGCCCAAAAGGACACATCAGTGAGACGAGTATAAGGCCTGTCTCACTGGCTATAACAAGATTACTAGGCACTCGAAGAGGGATTGATGGAGGCGACATTGCGAAACAATACAAACGTGGCCTGAAGCCTCGCGTCTGCGTAAAATTTTATCAAAGGAGTCTTCCAATGGGATAGCTCTCCTAAGGAGGCAAGATGTCACCTTTACAAACGATAACAGGGAGACCCTAAATCCCCTACTTCAAGTGCATTTCCAAGGTTCCTTGGTGGAGCATGATCTGATGACCTCTGTCTCCTCGGAACACAGGTTCCCGGTGAGGATTGAAAGCAGATCTGGCTATATCTTTGACAGGGACAAGGTACGGTGGGCGGTAAGTTCTTTTGAACCCTGCAAAGCAGCGGGTGGTGATGGGATCTTCCCAGCACTACTGCAAAGAAGTATTGAGGATATCATTGATTTCCTGATCTGTATATTTGGGGCTAGTTATTGCTGGGAATTCACACCGTATGCTTGGAGGAAGGTGTCCGTGTTATTTATTCCGAAATCGGGCAACAGGCCCCTTGACTTAGCTAAATCATACAGACCTATTAGTCTAACTTCCTTCACTCTCAAAAATTTAGAGAGACTCTTAGACCTCCATATTAGGGAGGGACTTAACACTTTCACTCCTTTACACCACCACCTTATGTCAAAGGGAAATCAACGGATTCGGCTCATTGTATCTGGTTAGTAGGATCGAAAGTGCCTTCAAGACAAAGGAGATCGCTATGTGCATCTTCTTGGACATTGAGGGGGCTTTCGATAATACTGCCTATGGATCTGTCTCAAGGGAATTGGTCCAAAGAGGCTTATACCATACTATTATTGGTTGGATCGACGCTATGCTTCGTGAGCGTGAAATTACATCGTCCTTGAGCAATACTCAGTGAAAATAAGAGCCGTGAGAGGCTGCCCACAGGGAGGAGTCCTTTCTCTCTTGCTTTGGTCACTTGTTATGGATGACCACTTAATCAGACTACATGAGTGTCGCGTGTCAATTAGGGCCTCAGCATAAATCCTCGGAAGGCTGTTCTGGTACCGTTTACAAGGTATAAACCAAACCTTAGTTCGGTCACTCTTGGAGGGACAGTACTTGAATACTCCGATGTGGGCCTGCAGAGGGTTTTAGCTCAAGGCTGATTGAGTGGCTCTACCATACGATCGTCCGTTCGATTGTGTCTTATGCATCCATAGCATGTGGCAGAAAACAATGGAAAAAACTGCCATATTTCGCCTTAACAAGCTGCAAAGATTGGCATGTCTATCCGTCAGTGGATCCATAAGAACGTGTTCAACTGCGGCTCTAGAGTCGCTCCTGGGATCGATTCCTCTCCATATTTTTATCCAGGAAACAGTAACGAGGGAGCTGTAACTTCGACTATCTAACGACGGCTTCTTCGCAAAGAAGGTTCATGCAGGTATTCTTGGAAAGGTACCAGGGTTGGAAATATGCGGAATATCTGATTCCATGACTAAAGAGGTCTTCTTTGGCAGAAAATTCCAAGTGATAATCCCCGATGATTGGGCAAATGGGCTCCCTGCACTTGATCTCCGATACGTACACTGGTACACAGACGGTGCTGAATGCACCGACTCTTTGTTTGATGACAGGAGATACATCGTCTTGTCATCGTTTACCACCAGACCCATTCGCTTTGCTTCCTCATCCAACAGAGGCTGGTGCGTATTTTGGCTGCAGCAAGATAGTGGGCCGAGTCAATGTTTGGGCCTCAGAGTGTACGTACGTCTAAAACACTGGAAGCTTGCCTTCCGACTATTTATAAATCATGATCGATTTGGTTTCTCGTATTTCGATATATTTGGATATTTTTGTGGGTGACCCTTGCACTGCATATTACCATGTTTCGGGCCCCGGCGAATTCGATAAGCCTCAGTCCGTTATCGGATGTTTCGTCATGGAGGCTGAATTTTCCGACGGTGGTTCCAAAGATCTTTTCCTTGCCCACCCTGACATTGGAAGTTGCCAAGCACGATTTTAATATCATGACGGAGTTAGCGCTGTTATGTGCGCTCCAAGTGCTAAAGAAGCTAACCTTGGACTCGTCTTTCTCTTCCCTCGGGTCGTGGGCGCAAATTTGTGAGATGTTGAAGAATCTTGCTTTGATGCGGATTGTGGCTAGGCGCTCGTCCACCGGGATGAACGACAGTACTCGACGACGAAGTCTCCTTCCCATCACAAATCCAACACGCAATTTGCGCTCCTTTTTTGTCCCTACGTGGACATCAACCAGCCGGGCAGAGGTATGTTTCCCATTGAGGGTCCGGACATTCTAGGTGCATACTCTTAAATCGTAGTCTTTAAACGTGCGCCATGGTCGTCATCAAAAGCGGGGGTCGCATCCGAGGCTTTTTGAAATTTCTTGACTGGAAGGGGGTTTTTACGGGGCGGGTCCCAAACCCAGCGCACAATCTATCGCTGAGAAAAAGGGAACTCGCCACTCATATACTTGCCACACCACATCTCTCCTAAGCTCACTTCTCCTGAACTCATTGCATCCCTCACTTGAACTCATTAAATGAAATGAGATCACATTACATGAAATACGTGTACATTTGACATCGCATGACTTGACATCACATGACAAAACATCACTTTATATCACATCACATGAGATAACATCACTTGATATGACATCATATGGCATTAACATCACAAGGTTAATTTACACACTTTACTTTTATAAGGACACAGAAGATGGTGAATATGTATACGAATAAAAGATTACTTATAAACATACATATCGTCACCTTATTTCACAAAGGCCCTAGCCAACATTTTTTTTTTTTTACAGGAGAAGCAAAAAACATTATAAAATGAGCAATACAGGTGGGGCTTTTTGAAAAGTGGCATGTAACTCCGTTGTTTTTGGTACAAACACTACACAATTTTTAATGAAGGTGTATTTTAATAATTTCATCCTACAAGTTTCGAAAAGTGTTGGTTAGGGCCTTTGTGAATTAAGGTAACGATATGTACCTATACCAAAATTAAACTATTATATATTAATTGGCAATGTAATTCAATATGATTTAAAAATAATACAAAAAAACAATGAAATAACAACAAAAGAAAAAATGCTTGCCGTTGTATGGCTCTGTGCTGTATATTAATTATGAGACAACTTAGATATGTAACGCAAGTTTTAATAAGGCAATCCAGTTTTTGGATACTAATTGTTGCCGAAAGAAATTTTCCGTTCTGCCTTACTTCACCGTCTTCAATCACCAGGCACCAAAAGTAACGGTTATCTCGAATTTACAAATTGAAAATGTTGCCCGAATTCTGAAACTTAAGGAGAACGCTGTTTCACTAGAGGAGAAATATTTTTTATTTTGCCGATAAGAGTTACAAACAACCTTTATTTTTTACGTTGTTTGATAAACGCTGTAGGGTAAGGATATTGATGAATATGGGGATGGAACAGAAGGTAAAGATAATGAAAACAAAAGTAGAAGAGTGAAACAACTCTTATCGGTAAAATATTTCCAAAGTTTTTGCAAAAATTTTAAATCAAATCATTCGATCTGATTTGTTTCATTTTTGTCACATTACGTTTGAAAAATTTGATATACTTTATTTATTTTGAATTGCTCCATGTCTTTCCGAATTATTTGTGAAAAAAAAAACTAGAAACTTGTGTATCCTGGAAACTGTTAAACTGCAAAATTCAAATCTTATTTAGTGTAAACCTCCTCTTGTCCAATTTTGTAAAGCTGAAAAAGTGAAAAAGCAATTTGTTGTGTGCGGCTTATTCATGTTTGCGTGCGTGTGTTGTGTTGCATTGTTCGTGATTTTGTTCTCAAACCACTCGGCCTGTGTATATCAGCCCGTAATTGAATCGTTTTGAATTATTCGAGAGCATTGCGTTTTGAATAACGCAAATATTTGAACAGCTGTAAAAACTTACAAATTAACTAAACTAAAAATTTAAGAAATACTATTTATGTATACATATGTACATAAGCCAATAAAACTCATTCGCATAAAAATTAAGTGATTCCAAACATTTGTTGTGGCTCTGTTTTCTTAGAAATCTACGATAACATTTCTTGTGATGGCTTTTTCAACATGAATGCCATGCGTATTCAAACGACTTTTCCGCCAATTGGTACTTTTACTTTGGATTCGACTTTGGGTCCACCACCGGGGCAATCGCAGAATCAACAGTCGATTTCTCAACATCCACCACCGATTGGGATTTTCGATGCCAACGAAGTTCCAGAAGTTATTCAAAACCCGGCAACAATCGGTGTGTTCCAATCAAATAGCGTTCTGAACAATGGAGGTAGTGGTGGCGGTGGCAATAACTCATCGTCCATCTTCAGCTCGCAATCGAGCTCTTCTTCAGCTGCCAATGATCCAAGTCAAGCAACTCGAGAGACTGGTATTATTGAGAAACTTTTGGTATGTTATATATTATATTTAGACACAACTGAACAATGTATGTTCGTGCATATATCGGCGACGAGCAAAACTTAAGACGGCTTTTAAGATTTTGTATAACAATATATAGATTAGAACATAAGTTCGCCACAAATGCTCTCACTGATCGTCGCTGTCATATACACATACATACATAAATAGACAGTATGCGCTTTACGATTTATGTTTATAAA